TCTTAGTGTTATGACATCAAATAAATCATAAAAGAATATAGCTTTTGCTTTACTCATTATGATGTGAAACATAATAGGAATTGCAGGAATTTAATAAAAAGTTGTTAACCTTACTAATTGTAAAATTAATATTTCACAAGAATTAGATTTCTAGGATTTCGTAGTTGTAGTTGTGCTTTGGCATGCAGTTACGAGAAAGAATAACAAGACAATTTAAAATAACAACAAACTTATAGTAAAGGTAAAGATATAAATAATAGAAATCCACCGTTTAACAAATATAAAATTCACCTTGAGTTCCCTCACTTTCACTCTTGAGGTGGTTTTAACTGAAGAATAGTTTTAGCAAACTTAGAGATGCCACCAAAAGACATAAAACACATGCAATATTGCGCAACGAAAAGTTAGCCGGAGGGGAAGAAGTTGGTGGATGTCCGATAATTCGCCACTATCTGGAGATTTGGTGTTCCTCGATTGCAAACGTCAAGGTGAAAAGGATTCGTTTGACGTAGTCGTCGACAGTGTCGTCGATCTCCAAGTTGAGGTTGAAGAAAGGAGACCGAAGGATATCTACTCATCCTTGAAGATCATACACGAATCCATGATTGTGCTCGGGATCGTCCAGTCATGGGGGAGAGAAGTCTCTTCAATTCCTGGATGGGCCAAAGTGGCCGACGGTTTGATGGAGAGGAAGAGAGGTTGGCCTGCTTGGAGAGCCTTGGGGTTAGAGATTTAGGTAGTAAGAGGAGTCAAGAGGAGAGGAGGGAATTAATTCCTTGATTAATTAAACTTGAGTAGAAATTAATATTGGAATTAATTTGAGAGGGAAGGAGGGTAATTGGTGGAGGGATTATGGGGGGAATTGGGTTTTAATTTGGAAATAATTTAAGTGGAGGAGAGAGAAAGGGTAGGGGATGATGGCAAGAAAGGGAGAGATATGGAAGAGAGGGAGGCCAACCAAGAGAAAGGGGAAGGGGGTTGTCCACATTCAAGAATGTGGCTAGGTGGAATGAATGTTGGAATTTAAATTAATTCCAAGTAAATTTCAGATTGTGAGAGATTTGGAGGGGCTTCCTAAAATAGATTTGCTAATTAAGAAAGGTTTTGAATTTCAAATATCATTTGAATTCAAATTAATAGACTTTTAAAATTAATAATAAGCTATATTAGGAAGGTGTTTAAGAGGCCTTTTGAATTTGAAAACAAAAGGGGGAGGGGCCGACAGCTTAGGCTTGGGCTAGTTAGGCCTGCGGCTAAGGGAGGTGGCCGACGGATTGGAGGTGGAGAGGGGAGGAAGCCGACGGGTATAGGTGGTAGGGAAGAGGAGGCTGGCGGGTATGGGTGGTGGTGTTTGGGTGGTGTTTGGATAGCCGGCAGTATGGGATTGAAGTAGACGTGTCTGTCGGCTTGGTGAAGAGAAAAGGGGTGGAAAAGAAGGAAGGAAAAAGGAATCCGAGAGCTCGGACTCTTCCGGCGGCTGTTGGGTATTGTTTTGATCCTCTCCTAGGGTTCTATCTTCTCTAGGGAGCTCACAAAGAAACAAAGTACTAAAAAGCTAAAATTTTCATTCATCAATCATTGACCTCATACAATAGTGAAGACCTCTATATATAGGTCTTAAAATAAAAAGAAATGCAAAGACTAAAATGCCCTTTGGGCTACATCAGGAACTAAGCCCTCATAAGGGTACAATGGTAAACTAAGACACAAAATAAAAATAATACATAAAATGCTTCATAAATAAAGACTCCGAATTGTAGCCGTTGATCTACGATTCCTCCAATGATAGACGCTCCGGAATCTCCTGCTGATGTCCTCATCTCATTATCTTCATTACAAGATTTCTAGCTTTCTTAATACATTATAAGCATTTGTAGTTTCAAATTTAATCCTCTTTTAAAAATATTTTTCTTTTACTTAATAGCCCTTTATTTCTTCTTTTTCCACTATCAAATTTCCTTACCAATGTATCATCTATTTATATACTTTTCTAAAATTTTTATATTAATTCATTTTATAAAATTTGCCATCTTATCCCACGTTAGGGTTTGACTCATTTAAAGAATTCTGATTTACCTCTTTTAGCAACATATCTTGAAAGATTAACAATTTCCTACCCTTTCAGATTTCTCTACTCCTTTGACCATAATTGCCATAATTGCTTTTGATTAACAACAACGAGATTTTATTCCACTATATGGGGTTATTCTTTTGATTATTTTTAATTATCAATAACTAAAACCCTATGTTGTATTGTTAACTTTTCATTTGGAAGCAACTAATTTTTTTAGTAAAAATAATCAATTTTCTCTATGGCAGCCACATGTAACCAAGGTTGTAAAAACTAGACCGGAGATAGAACTGAAAAAGAGAGAGGTTCAAGGTTCAATGGTTCGGCTGGGATTGAAGAACCGGATAATGTAATAAAAATTAAAAAAATTAAATGATATTTTAATAATAAGATAACTTTATAATAATTATGAAATAATATAATTTTTGGACTAAAAATAATTAAAATTCATACACAAATAATGTATTCCATAATTTTCAAGTTAAATATACATAATTATTAATTTATATTATATATATTTAAATATAAATACAACAACAAACATACAACAGCATCAAGCCTTTATCCCACTATGTGAGATCGACTACATGAATCCTTCTTTTTCATTGTGTCCTAACAAGAGTCAAATTTTCATTTAAATCTAATAAAGAAATGACATTTCTAATATTTTCTAATTAAGTCATTTTAGGTCTTACTAATTTTAAATTTAATGTAAATATCTCTAATATTCGATTTTAATTCATATTTAATAGAAATTTAGTTTATATATAAATATATAAATTTAATATAAATAATTGTTAATTTATGTGAAACATGTGTGTATGATTTACTAGTGCTTAATACATAATACTTAAAAAATTTTAGATATATATTTTTAAATAAATATTTTATATTTAAATTAGTTTATCATTTAATATAATATTTTATATTAAATTAAATTATTTAAATATATTATGAATTGAACTGGCCAGTTTTGAAAAGCCGAGACCAGTTCAACAGTTGGTTGGTTGAACTGACGGTTTAAACCGGTTTGATACTGGATCGGTTTTTTATAAGGACTAAACCGGTCATAGGATTGGTTCACAGTTGAAACGGTCGGTCCGATCCGTCTTTCAAAACCATGCATGTTACTACATGATCTTCTTGTTTCATTAAATTACTAAGTAAATTCAATCTTGATTATGAATCATCATACCTTATTTATAAAAATAAAGTTATAGGGATAAAGGCAATTTAAATATAATTCTAATTATATTTTGAATCAAATCCTATCTATTAATTGAAATTTTAATCTATAATTATTAAGAAAATAGATTCAATTAAATTTAAATTAAGATAAAAGATAGAAATTCAGCCAAAAAATATAATATTAAAACAAAGCTTGAAAATTGGTTTGGTTCATCACCTTTATCCGTGTTTTATTTCTTTTGATTGGCCCGTGAAAATTCGAATTTTTTTGGCTAAATTAGTTGATTTGTTCTTCATAAATTTCACTTGGCCAATATAGTACTCTTCTTGGAAAGAGGTGGAGGAAATGGGAGCACTAGATCAGTTGATGGAAAAGCATCGATGAAGAACATCAAACAATAGAAAGAAATCTAAAAAACGGATTTGTAGGCTTATGTGTTGAGTGTTATAAGCAACAAACACCTAAGGATATTTGGAAGTTGAACTAGCAATTAGCTAGGTGATGATGGCGGCAGTGGCAGTGCAAACACGATCATTTTATAGGTGCAATTGGTTTTAAAAAAATAATTTTAAATTACTCGTGATAAGTGAATTAGAGAAGGAATCACTATAGTATCAACAATTGTTTTATATAACATCATTTCATAGTTAACATCAATCTCAAGCTCAAACACTTAATCAAATATGGGTTTTTTTCTTAACACCTAATAGTGTATTGGAATCAATCTCAAGCATAATAGTACTGTTTGTACTGCTAACTCATAATGATCCTCAAGGTCCAGTTCATCATATCATATGAAAGACGTTTGTCATCATAAACATTTTCATAAATATCATTATCTGAAGAGATTTATCATCATAAATATCATAATAAGGATCATCGTACTAGTAGGATCTTAAGGTTTTGATCATGATCTTGAAATAGATAATGTCTGGATTTTGTGGGACCAGAGAAATCTATGAGGCCTGTGTAATGAATTGCATGGACTGACACCCTATGAAAAGTTTTGGTTCTCACACAGCCTTCCGATACTCTGATCAAGTGGGAAGTATCACAAAAGCTAACAACGATCTAATTAATAATGAAAAATCCCAAGGGAGAAGGAAACAACATTTTTCAATCATTGGCTCTTAACGGGGCGTACATGTGCTATTTGTAGATAGAGTATGGCCTAGCAAATATTTAATAGTTCCTTCACTTATTCTAGCTGAAAAATAAAATAAAGCAAAGAGAAAGTTACAAATTGATGACACCTATTGTAGTATCAAGAAACATGTTGTTAATAACATGAATAGGTGATGGCCTATGTCAAATCTTTTAGTGATTTCTAGAATATGTAGTTTACTGATACTATAAAGGGGTGTACATGTGCTATTTGTAGACAGAGTATGGCCTAGCAAATATTTAATAGTTCTACCACTTATTCTAGCTGAAATAATAAAATAGTGCAAAGATAAAGTTACAAATTGATGACATCTATTATAGTATCACGAAAGATGTTGATAACATGAATAGGATGATGGCCTATATCAAATGTTCTAGTGATTTCTAGAATATATAGTTTACTGAAGTCTGATTGATCACATCACTTCAAGTACTGATTACCTTCATGATGTACTTGTGAAGCCAACTAATTTTTTTTGTACCTTAGCATATTTCTCTTTCTGGGTAGACTTCTTATTCTGTCTACTTTATTTTTTTGTCTATTATGTTGGTGCTTTTTTTCCCCTGCATATTTAGGTCAGCATACGAGCAAAAGAAAGCTGAGGGAGAGAGAAATTTTCAGCCAATTGATTATGATGCTCCTATTGAATCTGAACAATCCAAAATTGGATTAGCTACCAAGGTAAGCATATTTTGACTTTTTTTTTGCTAATTGTGAAAGCTTTTCAATGCTGGAAATTGATTGATTGGGTTTTGATTGCAAAATAGATTGGTGTTGGAGTTGCTGTAGCTGTTTTTGGTGTGGTTTTTGCTTTTGGGGATTCCTTCCCTTCTGGAAGGTAACTATGGTGTATTTTAGTATGGAAGGCTTGATTTTCCATGTATGGCTTTTTAAACATAGATGCATTTTATTTAGAATGAGTTTGTTGATTCTTTTAATACTTAAAATTCTTCTAGTTATATGTGTGGATTAAGCTTCTTAAACCATTTAACGTTATCCATTCTTTCATTTCACTCATGACTGCTTGATTATTTCATTTTGAGATAATAATCAAAACGGTTCTGTGACCTTTTATGAAAGTCCACAATAGTCCTCAATTTTATTAACGGATTATTTTGGTCCCTCAACTCCTTTAGAGAAGTCAAAATAGTCCCTCCATGAGATTATTTTAATTTCTTTTTAAAGATTAGAGAGATCCAAATGATCATTTAATATAGTTGAGGATCATTTAGTCCTTTTTAAAGAGTCAAGGGATCCTTTTGATCATTTTCTTATTTCATTTTATAGCTAACTTGATGTATTATAATATAATGTTATTGTAGGTGTACTTTGCAGTCATATTTTAATAAGTTATTTACTAGAACTGATCGATAGAAATGATCATTTAGCTTTAATATGAACTGTAATAAGCAGCAAAACGAGTGAATAGATGTTGTAATAGTTGAATACTGGCTTCGGAAATTTAAATTGCTTATCTATTGTTGTAATCAAGCTTTACCTGGTTTATTTTTAATGCATGCAATTAACAATTAGCTCGTTATATTTTTAGTGTAATTTAATTCCAGGCTAAATCATGCTAAAGTTTATTTAATATATAATAAATGCATACGGATTATTAATAATTTTTTAATTATGTTTCATATGTAGTAAATGCATACAGATTTTTGAAGTATGCTTTAATGAAACTGAACTCAAAATTTGACTTCAACTCAATTCAAATTGATTCGCTATAGGAATTTAGCTGTCCCAAGCTCCAGTGAGTTGTTTCCAGTCAACTCAAATCTTTTTGAGTTAGCTATAAATGATCCAAATCAGAATCTTTTTGAGTTAGCAATAAATGATCCAAATCAGTAAGGACCCATTTCATATAACTTTTGTTTTTGTAAATTTTTGTTTTAATTTTAATTTTTTTATATTTTGATATGTTTCTAAAAAAAATGTTGTTTTTGTTTTTATTAAATATATAATAGGTTGATTTATGTGGTGGTAGTGGTTGCTGTAGCTATTGGGATAGCAGTGGTGGTGGTTGGGGCACTAGCGGTGGTGATCACTGGTTGTGATAATTGTCTTTAAAAAAAATCAAAATACCTTGTTTTTGTTTTGAATGTTTCTAAAAAATATTTTGATTTGTTTTTAAAAATAAAAAATAGGAATAGTTGAAAAACGCACAAAATAAATATATTTCTTAAAAAAAAAAAAAATCTTAAACTGGCCCTAAACAACTTCATTTGACTATATTCTGAAGTATGCATACCTCGATTAACCAAAATATGCTACTGCATTATAAGTTATTTAAAAAGTATGGAAAACCAACATAAAATGCCAAAATCTTCTATTACATATTTGATATGTGAAATAAAAAATTAAAAGTATATGATAGATTTTGCTCGTGATAAATTTTTTTCTTCAAATAAGCTCTCCCTCTGCTCTTTCTTTACAAGCTAATTCGAGCCAGATATCATGTTAATTAAAAGTTCCTGCAAAGGGGTAGAAATTCAGTAATAAATCAACTACAAAATATTGAAGAAAGTACAACTATCCAGCAATCTTTGCTAGGATGTCTAGGATAAATAATTCCTGTAGAGATTGAAATCTACACATTCAGCTATAGTAAGATTATTTATCCAGATGGTCAGCCGTTATCTCTCTCTGGTGATATAATAAATCACTAAACTGGTAACCAGTAAATAACTAAATTAGTGATCTAGCAATTAGACAAATAGTAGATTTTACAGATAAAATGCTATAACTATATTAAGGGCTTGTTTAGTTGCTTATTTAGGTAAGCTAAGTAAAGATTAGGATATTACGCTTAATGCGGACAATAAGTTGGCCAAAATAATAATCACATGCTCTCAAAAGTGATTTGGGGAATATGCTAAGCTTAAGTAAGAATTAGTCATTTAATTATTTGTAATTTGACCAATTTAGAAGTAGATTAATTATAATAATTAGGAATTTATTATATTTATTAGTGATTAAGTAATTATTCAATGATAGACACATTGATAGTTAATGGTGATTGTTGCATTGATTGTGATTACAACATCGATTGCAACTGAAATTGCTTGATCAATGCTAATTTTGGATAAAAAAGGATGGTTACTGTAACATCGGTAACAACTATAGCATCAATAGAGATGTAGGGCGAAGACTACTCACATGGGGAGAAGGATGATGACATCAACACTATTGGGGATTACAACATCAACTGGGACAAATTAGGGAGATGGCTAACCTGAGAAGCAGGATGGAGATGACAATGTAGGCATCATTGAAGGAAGGTGATGATGAAAATCATACAAATTGAGGTCATTGATTACAATGCTATTAGTGACGGAATGATCAACAAGGACAAATGACTTTTGTGGATAACTTGCCATGAAGATGATGGTAATGATTGATGCTAGCATTGATGATAGTGTGATGATGTACATGTTTAACATGAAGTAACTGTTGATGGTAGTATGGATGGATGAACATGAAGTAACTTTTGAGCTTGTAGCTCAACATCCATCCTTCTTCTCTGCTATTTTGATGTCCTTCCTCCAGATAATAAAGTCTTAGCATCATTCCTTCTAGGAACATATAGCCCAGTCGATAGAGTAGTGGTGTTGGCAGGCCCCACAAAAATTTATTTCCTAGCTACAACCCTCTTCATGGCTGGGGTCCCTACTGGGACAACCTTTCGAAACTAGAGATTCTCTTATGGGGGACCTTTTATTAGTGGTATTTCTGGTTGGTGGCACTCAAAATGTTGACATATGTGCATTACGTGCAGTAGCTTTAGTAAGGTTTGACCTTCTAAGAGGTCCTTCAGTCGTCATGCCATATACAAGAACGGTGTAATAATTCAAATATTTTTTTGAAATGATTTTTTAAATGAAAAATTGAATTTCAGGCCAAGTCTTGTTAGTTATTAACACTATAAAATGAGTTGGCTATTAAAATGTATTACCTTGTGCAAGAACTGTGGGCCGACAAGCTTTCCTTTAAAGATGATTTATGGTTTTATGCTGATTGTTGCCTGTAACAAATGATCGATTATGTTGATGGGCAGAGAGTGATGACTCTTTGTTGATTTAATGAAGCCACCTGTAATGATAATTGATTAATTGGATAAGTGATAATTGATATGACTGATGAAAAATTGGGAATGTTGGGGTAAAAGATGTTGAAAACGCTACATTAAAGTTGGATGTCCTGCCTTGTTAAATCATACATTTCATGCATATATTGATAGTACTGATGATATTGATATATACATTAATATCATTGACAATACTGGATGCATTGATAATTCATAAACATATGATGCATATGAATAGATAAGATATATTCCTTTAGTGATTTATGAATAATTTTTGCACCTTTGTTTTACCGGTTTATTGAATTATATACCAATTATTGATTTTTAGATTCATTGTAGTAATTCCCTGGTTTTATTATTTGTCATATTGATTTTTATTCATAATATATGATTATTAACTATATTGATTGTTATTGATTATATTAGACTGAGCATATCATATTGATTCTTTAGTCCTTACATTGATTAATTTAGTGAATTTAGATTAATGTTGGGCTTTTGAGCTCTCAGATAAGAAAATAGGTCAGGACCAGTTGGACTGAGATTGTTAGAGATCTTCAAGTTTTCCTTAGATTTTATTATGTATTTTCGTTTATTCTTTTGTAGTCAGGAGCTTATGATATATTAGTGATTGTAGTGATCTGTTGGTTATTGTAAATAACATTTTGGGTGAATAAATAGTTTAATATCTTGATTTATATGATTTGAGTTGCTTTTGTTGGTTATTATTTATATTGATGATTTATAGAAGATCTGACATATTCTTAAAATGATAAATAGACAATTCTTCCAAATTTGATTCCGTGGCATTACAAATGGTAACAACCATTGTAGTAGCTATAAAAAATTTTAACCTACCAAATTGGATGGTGGCTCTGGAGTTTACAATATTGATGATAGTATTCGCTAACTGAATGATAAAAGACGTGTTCTGTAGTTCCATTATGTACAAATGAAAGATAAGGGTTAGTAATCAGAATTTGATGCTTTATCCCACACTTTCAAAATGTAGAGACTAGACATAACAAAATAATATAATCAAGTAATTTGAATAATCTGGAAACCCTTCTTGAGCTAACTTTAATGAGTTTGTTAAAAAAAAATTCATTAAAAAATGATTTAAAAATTTAGCTCGTTATACTTTGCTTTTACTATAGAAAATGTATGATTGCCAAAGATAAAAAGAGAAATCATCCCCAACGGAGTCACTAGGAATCAGTGCTCTAAAAATTTGAGCTTTTGGGGCCCGATCTTTTCGTGTATGTTCGCCTGTTCGGAGAAAGTTTTAACAAATTATGTTCTAAAGAAAATTTTCGAAAGGCAGATTAAATAGAGATAAGACACTACTTAGAGATTTCGCCCTCTTAATGAAGACTTAAGATCCGAGTTCTGATTTCCTAGAAGCGCAAGCCCTATAGTTAATTACCCCTCTCGATAATGAGACCCAGTTAGGAAGAGTAGATAATGAGAGAGTTTTTGTTGATAATGAGAGAGTTTATTAAGGCTAGTCGTTAAATAAATGCTTAGTATCTAACATATAGTAGTAGTAGATCTAGATATTTAAAATTGGTAATTTTATCACCTATCACTTAAAGTAGATAGTGGGGGGATGATGATGAACCCAATAACGATCCAATGGTTGTGTTGTTCTGGGTCATCATGGTCCCTAGTCCACTTAGTCAGAGGAGATAGTCAACCCAACCTGACCGAATGATCTTTGTTGGTAGCCATCAATTGTTTCGTACAAG